GTCGCTACGGTAGGAAACCGGAGAACATGAAGGAAACCCATTCAGAAGAGAGGGAGAGAGCGAAAACATACAAACTCCACGCAGAAAGGCGTCCGAGTCGGGAATCAATCCCGTGTCCTTTTTGCTGCGCGGCGCAAGTGTTAAAACAGCCACGGTGCCGCCCAATGCCTTGAATTTAATTGCAATGCCCTTAATGTAATGCGCAATTGAGTCCATGTATATATTCTCGATTTGAAGCTTTCGTGACTGCAAGGATTCATACTCTTAGGTTTTTTCGGTAAAGTCACGTAGGTGAAAAAATTAAATTTAAATTAATAAAAGTAATAATAAAAATAAAATAATAAATCACGACGTTTCGGGGGCAACACATTTATTAATTTTAATTAAATTGTATTTTTTTACCTACGTGACTTGTGTTGCCTCCGAAACGTCGTGATTCATAATTTTATTTTATTATTACTTTTATTAATTTAAATTTTATTTTTTTACCTACGTGACTTTACCGAAAAAACCCAAGAGTATGAATCCATGTATATATATGTGTGTATAGCGTGGGTTTATCAAAAACTGTGTTCCAATTGAACGGATTCCGAATACTTCACAGAACGACTTCTGAGTCCCTTCAATCTGCCTCTCGGTTTGGCGGCCTTGCGCCAGTCGTCCCGTGCGCGTTGCATGATTCCGATTAGCACGGTTGGCTACGTACGGTGCGAAAGAAGTTCAACGTAACATACGTACAGCACAGCGCTGGCAACATCCACCCAATAAATCCTACACACGAGTCTCAAGATTCATTTTCACGAGTCTCTTGCACTGGGATATTTTGCCCGATTGCTTTTTGCAATCGTGGTACCCAAAGAAAACCCAGACATACTCGTCGAGACAACTCCGTCTTCTTAGTCAGGGCTCTGCTCTGGCTCAAGTGAGTGGGCTGAGACCATGAACTTACTCCACTCGAGAACCTGGACCAAGCATGGGCAGCTGAAACCCTCCTTATAACCCAAGGTCTCAGCGACGCTGGCTCAGTGTCTCTGACACGGCCATGCCGAGCACCCCCCCCCCCCCCCCCAGAGACACCGGGTCACCTCCACAGCATTCTCCGGATTGTAAGGTAAGCCGCTCTGGAATCTCAGAAATGGAAGACGGTCACCGCATCACGCGGCGCTTCCAGGCGCCCTTCTGCTGTGGCCGTCTGGAACGCGCTTCCGATATTAGGAATCGCATCGGCGTACGAGGCATGTAAACTCCAAATACACAGCAGGCGTTGCCGACTTGTGTGTGAATGTTCTCATCAGTGCCGTCTCAGTGGTGTCACGTGCAGGCAAGATGACACCACAGAACTACTTATCAGTCGCCCTATTAGGCGTCGTATCGCCCAGCGCCAGAGGGCGCTCATTCGAATATACAGCAGCAGGCATCGTCAGGGTCGGGATCGAACCCACGACCTCCTGCATTCCAGGCGAGGTAGTTAACATCTCGGCACCGTGACGCCCGTGACTTGATGGGACGCTGAGCCCAAAGAATTACGGTCGGTCGGAGCTCTCCGCGGCGCCGTTGCTGTTCGTCAAACGGCCTCTCAGTTTAACACGTGGCAGGCTTTCGCGACCAATATGATTAATAAACGACGTTTTTGGGTTTAGATCGCGTTATTTATAAATGTGTCGAAATTCTGGCGAATTGCCCGATGATGCTGGATGCAAAAACGTCGTACCCAAATTGTAAATGTTGTGGTTTTACGCTTCAACACACCGGTGGGCGAAAGCCGGTGAACTATTTGTCCTTTGTCAACGTGACACTTTTTTACTGATTGGCCGTGTCGGGTGGTGGAGGGTTACGACTCATTTATAAATAACGCGATCTAAACCCAAAAAGTTGATTATGAAACGGCCTTTCCATCTGAGGACGGCTACTTGCGTTGTGGCCGAAACGTCGTGAGAATTATTTTACGTTTGATTTTTATTATTTTATTATTTCCATTCTACGTGACTTTACCGAAAGAACCAAGAAGATAAACGGCCTCTCGTCGATTTCCTTCGCGAAGCGCGGCTGTGGGGTTGTTTCTTTCTTTCTTTCTGAAAGCGCGCGTGCGACGGCGCGCCTCGCTCCATCGCCCTCCAGCAGGAGTTGTCCTTAGCGCAGTCATTTGACCTGGCGTGGAATACAGCGGCGGCAAACACAACGCCCACCGTTGCCGCAGACTCTCTGATTTAGCACAGGGAGGGTGCGTGGCAGTGGCGGTGGTGGTGGTGATTATTTATGTCTATATTCCCATCTACAGTATATTTAATAAAATATTTTAAAATACTTTTTTTTAAACACGCTTTAATAAAATGTACCGTACTCGTAATGGCAGAACTCCACGACTCCAGGAAGTGGCCCCGCAGCTTGCCATAGCGTAAGGGGCTGTGGTGATTTACAGGCAACGTGAGTGGAGCGTGGACAATAAGACTCGTAAAAAAGATCGTTAAAAATATTTTTTTTATTTTTAATGATAGAATATAGTATTGTCATTAGTATGATATACCTATACCAAGTTTGCAGTCGATACGACATTGGGAAGACGGTTGAAATTGAGTTACAAGATTTGAGGATACAACAGACAGAGTGAGTTAAATTAAAGTGTGTAAAATGTAAAAAATAGATTTTTTATTTGTTATGATAGAATATATTATCGTCATCAGTATGACATACCTATACCAAGTTTGCAGTCGATGGCTGCATGGCATTTTGGGCCTTTGGGCCTGTGCACAGCAAACCATAACAAAACGAGATCATAATCAGAAGATTTATTTTTACTGGAAGAATCCGATGAGCCCTAAAGCTCTTTTTTCACAGTTGCCCCATATTTACCCATTCCACAAGAAATGGAATTGCCATATTCCTGTGCAATCTGAACCGGTCCCCGGCCCCCACCCACCAACCCGCACCGACCAGCGGGGTGAAGTATGGTCTAAACCACTCCCCATGACTATCACGGCGTTTTGGAGGCATTCAGCCACAGCATGCGCACGTTCCAAGAGACGCATTGCCGGGTTGCAATGCTCACGGCGGAGCAGCAGGGGTCGGTGTGGTGCATCGCTTGGGCGCTCCACTGCAGACACGTTCCGCATCGCGCGTCCTTACTCCGTACCCCCCTGACAACCGAGACATCTCCCTCCGCTAGGCAGAGGGGACCGCGACTGCGTCTGCCCTTCCGCCAAGACGGTGATCGGCATCGTCAGTTTCCCTAAATTGTCGTGATGAGATTCGCGTTGCTCGCTCGACGTTCTTCTTAAATATTTCATTTCCTGACAAAATATCGAAAAACAAAGTCGAGAATGAAACCTTAAACGCGTATGTTTTGACAGCGAATGTTATGGTCCGTAATTTCTATTGGGGTTGGGCTACTTAATAATCTTGGCCAGATTTCTGTCGTTAGGACCCACCCACACCGCGAGACAGCCAAACACATTAAATAGTCACGTGGTGTGCAAGCGTTTTCATGGGACAATTATTTTTGAATTATTATCGATTCCCAGCCAAACTTACCAACTGCGTTCGACATTTTATTTAGGCGGTGACGAGCCCTTCACCGATTGGTTAACTTTCTCGCCTGGTGTACAGGAGGTCGTCGGTTCAAAGCCCGACCCTGACACCTGCTGTATATTTGGAGTTTGTATGTTCTCTCCATGGTCGCCTGGGTTTTTCTCTAGGTCCTCCGGGTTTTCCCTCTACATTTAGAAATATGCATTTAGAGTATTTGGCCGCTATATATTTACACGCAATACGCCACTTTGTTGGGCTATCATTTGTGGCAAGGTCGCTTTTTAAAAAGAGCTACATAGGGGCCGTCCATAAATGACGTCACGCACCTAGGGGGGGGGGGTCAGACATTTGTGACGATGTGTGACGAGGGGGGGGGGGGGGGGTTGAGAAATGTGACGTCACATCAAAATGCGCAACTTTAAATAAATATAAACAACGCGTTCTACTTAATTAAATAGACTTTTTAATAAATGTTTTCTCCTACAACATCACAGTGCAGCGCCACATTAAATACGCACTACAATGACAAGAGTTTAAAGCGATTTAAAGCATGCTTATTTTTGGGGGGCAGGGGCAGAGCTTGTGACGTCATATTTGAGGGGGGGTCTGACTTTTTGTGACGCCGTGTGACGATGGGGGTGGGGGGGTCAAAAATCGTCCAAAATCGCGTGACGTCATTTATGGACGGCCCCTAATACCGCAGTCGTAATAACCGTAGCGGTACTACTACGCGTCGTCAGCTTCAGAGTGGAAGTGAAAGATCGCGTGACGTCATTTCTCAAGAGGAGGCAATACTGTGTATGGGTCACCTGGTCCACATTTACCAAATCTGCAAAACGACGCGGCTAAATTACTGAATTGGAATTGACGTGGCAGTCATCCCCCCCCCCCCCCCCCCGTCCTGTGAAAGCTCGGCAGGATCCTCCTGAAAGAGGCAGTGACAATCAGCGAGGCGTTCTCGTGTAAACAATAAAAACTACAATTAAACTACGCGAAACATCTTTACGACACGACAAAATGCATCGCAATCACACTGGGGCGGTTCTTTAATTTTCACTGATGATGATGATTGGTAGTGCCGCTACTGCTCATGGCAAGGATAACTAAGACGACAATGACGACGATGACGATGTTGTCACTCGCGATGCCTCTGCTGCTTTCCACCGACGACGACGTCGATGATCGCGATGATCGCAGCGACGGTGCCGATGACCGTGACGACGCCGATCAGTGATGACGATCATCAGTGACGTCGACCGTGCTACGACGACAACAACCGTGTCGACGACTGTGACGTCGACGACTGTGATGACGAAGATCCGTAACCGTGACGACCACTGTGACGTCGACGACCGTGACGACGATGATCAGTGATGTGACGACTGTGACGTCGACGACAATCGGTGACGTCCACCACCGTGACACCTCTCGTCCTCTGTGCCCCCCCCTCCCCACGTGCCCCCCCCCCCCCCCAGGCAAGGCGTTCCAGATCACCTACGTGCGCCTGCGTTTCCACACCAGCCGGCCCGAGAGCTTCGCCATCTACAAGCGCACGTCTCCCGCCTCGCCCTGGCAGCCATACCAGTTCTACAGCGGCACGTGCGAGCGAACCTTCGGCCTGCCGTCCCGGGGCTTCCTGCGCGCCGGCGACGACGAGAGGGCCGCGCTGTGTTCCGACGAGTTCAGCGACATCTCGCCGCTCACCGGCGGAAACGTGGCCTTCTCCACGCTCGAGGGCCGACCCGGGGCCCTCGCCTTTGACGGCAACGAGAAGCTGCAGGTGCCGCATTGATTCGTGAAATTGCTGTGTGTGTGTGTGTGCATGTGTGTGTGTGTGGAGAGCGGTGGTGTAGCAGTTAGCGCTGCACTGCGCTACGAACCCCGGCGACCCGAGTTTGATTCCCGCAACACCGGTGACGATTATCTGAATCGGTCCTGGGCCTCCCCTAGGTCGACTCGGCCTCAAATGAGTACCTGGTGCGGTGTGTAGTAAACATCACAACTGGGGAGACAAAGGGCGGCCAGGCGTGGTGCTGGCCACCCACCCCCTCGTGTGCCGTGCCGGCCTTCACACGTGCTCCTCGCTAGCAGCACTTGCCCCTACAGTCTGTTGAGGCTACACGGGGGGACCTTTGTCTTTGTGTGCAGGAATGGGTGACGGCGACCGACGTGCGCGTGTCCCTGCGTCGCCTCAACACCTTCGGCGACGAGGTGTTCGGGGACCCCAAGGTGCTGCGCTCCTACTACTACGCAGTGTCCGACCTGGCCGTGGGCGGCAGGTGAGGCAGCCGACGACTTCGCCTCCACACCTCTTGTGGGCAAAACAAAGCGCGGACGTCTTCTTGGTTCTTTCGGTAAAGTCACGTAGAATGGAAATAAAAAAATAATAAAAATAAAACTTAATAAAATATTTTTTATTTTTATTAATAAAAAACATAATAAAATATTATGTTCTATTTTTATTAATAATAAAAATAAAACAATGTTTTATTATGTTTTATTTTAATTATTTTATTATTTCCATTCTACGTGACTTTACCGAAAGAACCAAGAAGATGAATCCCTGCAGTCACGAAAGCGTTAAATCGAAATTTAAAGCGTGAACGGTTACCGTTGAAATTTTATTATTTTATTGTTATTGAATTACTATTATTTTTATCGTTATCTTTTTGTTGTTTTATCATTTTTATTAGTATATTTTTCTTGTACAATTTTCGTTTTTATTATTTTATTATATATATATTTACACGCCCGTTTAGCAAGGAGGGCCTTGCCGAGGAACGAAACTTTTTTCAGGAGGGTCCTGAAACATTATAGTCTCATATGCAGAGCTGGTGCGCGAGTGCTGCCTCGTAACTGTGTGGACCAGAGGGTCACTTGAAATGATCTCGGAGGTAGTTCTGTGACACCTGCTTCCGTGGGCCATTCTCATACCCACGTCACCGTTGGCCAAGTATGAAAACCATCCAAATTCAGAAACTATTCCAACAAACATTTTTTATTTTACCAGGTAAGGCCCACTGAGCCATATCGCCCCTTTTCAGAAGTGACCTGACCACAAATGATGGCTCAACGAAGTGGCTTATGTGGACATTTATAGCAGCCAAATATTCTAAACACATGTTTCTAAATGTGGAGGGGAAAAATCGGAAAGACCCGGAGAAAAATCCACGCGACCACGGGGAGAACACACAAACTCAAAATATACAGCAGGCATCAGGGTCGAAATCGAACCCACGACCTGTCTACTCGGTGGGGTAGTTAACATCTCGCTATTGCGGCACCCCAATAGTGGGCGCTACCATACGAATGTTGAAATGTCACCTTTTGCCCAGATCCATCTGCAGAGATGGGCACCACTCCGCCACGCACGTTTGTATAGCGAGGCACGGACAGAGAGTTTTAAATTATGATACGTTTATGCGAATGGCTACTCGCAGCATGGACACTTCGTATTCCCCGTGATTCACGGTGGCACTGCTTCGTGCAGCCTCTTGACATGCATTTGCAACCAGAAGCTCAATACGCTACCCCCAAACCGTATTCTTTATTATTGTGTTAAATTGTTTAAAAGCCTGAGCCAGTGGTTTGAACACGTGACCTTCTGATCCAAAGTCAGACGTGCGACCATTGACTTCCCCCCAAAAAGTAGTACTTATTTTAGAGACCCCCTCCCTCCCGGAAGTGGATGATGAGCTGAGTCAACGCATACCCAGGATTTCATCTCGCAACCTTGCCAGCCGCGAGATGCTCGCTCCCTCCCGCCGAGAGCCACCCGGCCCGTTGCTTTGGACCTCTTGTCAGAGACACGCGGCAGGAGCCGGCGTCGCGATGAATGGTGGCCTCGGCTGGGCGGGCACAACGGCGCGGGAACCGAACGGGCCGTCGCTTTCGCAACAAAAACACGCTCGGGGCACGGCCGCGCGTTGAACAGCTGCTTGGAAACAGGCGAATCTCACAATACCTTGGGGCGCATTGAGCACGGCTCACAACAAAAAGAACGGCAAGAATTTTTGGCGGGGGAGCGGGTGGGCTGGGGTTGTTTTGGCTTCGAGCATTACCCAGAAAGTCACGAACCACACTCACGGTGCCACCACCACCACGACCACCACCACCACCACGATCATCAGCAGCAGCTGCCGCGTGCATGATTTGGCTTCCGTGCAAGCCAACGCTGTCGCCCACGCCAATTACCGCGACTAACGAAGCTTGACGACGAGCCACTTGCGCTCACGAGCAATTTCCATTCCGCTCATGTGACGGGAGTTGGGAACCTGTGAAAACACAGCGTGTGAATTATTCGGCCGGGCTGCACGCAAAGCCCTCGGCTCACATCGGGAATGCCGTCCGTGGCTAAAAACTAAACTATTTTATTTGACCACGTAAAGCCCACTGAGCTACGTAGTATTTTTTCAGACGCAACCTGGTCACAACTGATAGCTCAACGAAGTGGCTTATCATTACGTGGAAATGTATCACAGCCAAGTACATTGATTCTAAATGTGGAGGGGAAAAACGGGAGGACCCGGAGGAAACTCCAAGCGACCACAGGGAGCACATGCAAACTCCAGATATAGAAGTGTCGGGGTCGGGATTGAACCCACGACCTCCTGTATACCAGGCGAGGTAGTTAACAGCTCGCCACCGTTACTTTTCACCTTATGCAGGGTCCAAACGAGGCACTAATGTTGCGTGAAGAGCACGCAGCCACGATGGATATTTAAAAAAAAAATATCCATCAGCATTTCGTGAATAGCTGTGTGGTTTTTACACGTTTCTGCGTTGTGTAATTATTATTATTGCTGTAAGGGTGATGGGTGTCGCATCGTTTACAGATTTGATTTCAACGTACAGCAAGACGTACGGTAAAGCCTCTCGAAACCGGACGAAGTGGGGGAGAGAGGCTCTCAGGCTATGGGACATATCCGGCATACTGAATATAAATAAATAAAAAGCTACATTTATTAATCTTAAATTACACTTATACGTAATAACAACTATAATGATGATTTTTGTATTATCACGATCATTGTAAATAATCATTCATAACCATAATTACCGTTGTTTAGCGAGGAAAGCCTCACTGAGTCTCAGGATTCCTTACTCTTTGGTTCTTTTGGTAAAGTCACGCAGGTAGAAATAAAATACAAAAATTCATTGAATTAAATGAATTTTTGTATTTTATTTCTACCTTCGTGACTTTACCGAAAGAACCAAAGAGTATGGATTCCTGCAGTCACGAAAGCTTCAAATCAAGATTGAGTCTCAGGACTCATTTACAGGAGGGTCCTGCCACGTGTTTACAGGAGGGGGACCATGCTGCTGCTGCGAGTAATAAATATGCAATGAGTTAATAACAAAAACACTAAAATATTAAACATTTAATTATAAACATAGCGTTTAATCTGAGTCGCCATCACCATGAAGCAGAGGGGGAAAGCTTGCCAACATGACGCCCGGGTCGCATTTGTCTCCCCAGTGCCTGATGTTTACACACAGTGCACTAGGTACTCAATTAAGGCTGAGTCGACTTAGGGGTGAGCCGCACCCAGGACCAGTTGTTTTCCATGACCGGGGCTCGAGTTGCCGAGCACGTAGTGCAGTATGCTAACCACTGCGCCACCGCTCCCCTGCGCACAAGCTTGCACACACACAGACAAGAAAAAGACAAAGACCCCCCCCCCCGTATAGCCTTAATAGACTGTTAGGGCAAGTGTTGTTTGCGAGCACCTGTGAAGGCTTCACGGCACACGAGGGGGTGGGTTGCCAGCACCACGCCCGGCCGTCCTTGTCTCCCGAATGGCTATCTTTACATACTGCACCAGGTACTCATTTGAGGCTGAGTCGACTTAAGGAATGCCCAGGACCGGTTCAGATAACTGCCGCTGGTGTTGGCCATGAGCGCGAATCGAACTCGGGTCGCCGGGATTCGTAGCGCAGTGCAGCGCTTAAACCGCGACGATACAGCTCACGCACACAAACACACACATGCCACCTTATTTGCAAAGATAGAAAGTTGAAAAAATAATTGAAGCAAGATGCTTCCCATGCCAGAGGTCGCAGCGGGGGGGGTCAGAGGCTATCCCGTCGCCATCGAGGCCTGGCTTAAGGGAGCAGAGTGCAGGTGAAGGTCTATTCAGCGTTTTTAATGACGGTGGCTGGGATAAGTGCCAGCAGCATCCTGTCTGTGTTTAAGCCCTGGAACCCAGCCAGCGCCTTTATAGCCGAGATCAAACCTCCACCACCCCCCGCGCCACCCCCTCCGGAGGAGCCTATTGAGCAGCGCACGTGTGCCCACCGATCGGGGGGGTGGTGAACGCCTTGTGAGAGCGGCGTGCGCACCTGTGGGGCACTTGAGATGGTGCACGGAGTGTGGGCAGTGGCTGCGAAGCTGCTCCCAAGATTTCGCTCACGAACATCGGCGCGTTCCTCAACCTGCAGACTTCACGGTCGGGGAACGAGCGATCAAAGCGTCGTCTCGCTCGGGGGGCAGTAGCGGTAGTGGCGACGCCCGTGGCCTCGTGGCACGAAGCGCCTGGGTTCGATTCACGACTCGGGCACCTTTCTGATGAATTAACTCCCGGATTATCGGGTTTTCTCCCAGAGCTTAAAAAAGAGACACAGACACACACACACAATGTAACTGGAATTGTCCAAACATGTCAATGCTGAAAAATTACCCACAAATTACTTAATTGGGATCACACAATCAGCAGCAGCAGCAGCAACATCGCCCCCCCCCCCCCCAACTGCAAACACTTGGCAGGACCCTCCTGAAAAAGTAGCTTGAGTAAACAAGCATGATAATCATGAAACATAATACAACTGAAGATGTCTTGCAGATAAACTGACACTGGCCATAGGGATGTGGCATTTCCACCCACTGGCTGAGGTCCACCACCAGAGATACGAATCTTTATTGTAAACAACTGAAAATAATTCTAGATTTGAAGTTTTCGTGACTGCAAGGGCCCAAACTCTTTTACCGAAAAAAACAAAGAACTGAAAATAAATTGATAAAGGTGTCCAGTTTGGGTGGGGCATTGCACCGTGCCCCCCCTCAAACTCCACGCATGCCTCCTTTCCTTTTCGATCTCTTCCTCCCCCTCTCTCGGTCCTTGCTCTCGTCCCACTCTTGTCTCCTAGACCACAACAAACAATCAGAATCTTCATTCATCCTGGAGAAATCCCATGAGCCATGAAGCTCTTTTTGTCACAGACGTCCAGGAGAGATGGGCCCCACGTCCGTGCCACGCTCGTACGGACACCGTGCAGCTTGGCTCAGCGCTCTCCTCTATTCGCTGAACCGAATAGAACACCTATTGCAAGGAATCAAGTCTGCATCAATCACAGACAGCGCTGGTGGCAAAACATGCAGACAAAACATGCTCCGATACCGTATTGCGCTGTCTTCGAAACGGATTGACCGACACCAGAGACATCCTTCTGTGTGGCCTTGTCTCACCGGTGTTAGACCAGAGAACGCCAAAAGGCGGACACTACAAAGACAATGCAAGTATGAAAATAGTAATAGCTCGGATTGAGCACTTATAAGAAGGCTGTCTCTGGTGTAGTCTTATCAGTTTAAAACACAGTGCATATATTATCAGAGCATGATTGTTTGCGTATTTTGTCCCAATAATGTGTTTTTAATGCAGACTTGAAGCCTTGCAATATGAATCTATTCGGTGTCTGAACCTCTTCACACCTGTATTATTTCCAGAATGGCTACAGCCCATCCTCGTGTCTTCATTTTGATAACTAGCAAACGAAAAGGTCCCGTAGACATCTATTCTGCCACGCGCTCAGAACACAACTAAGATCAAAAACTTCTGGAGATGCCAGGCGGACGACTCTGCTTGCCCACGTGACGACTAGAGGCTCCATCTAACCCCGTCTGCCCCCTCCCCCCCCCCGCCGTGCAGGTGCAAGTGCCACGGGCACGCGAGCGAGTGCGGCCGCGGGTCGGACGGGCGCCTCGTGTGCCGCTGCCAGCACAACACGACCGGCCACGACTGCGAGAGATGCCTCCCATCGCACAACTCCCGACCCTGGGCGCAGGGCTCGTCCGACGACGCACACGAGTGCCTCCGTAAGGACCGCGGACCTCGAGCATGCCGCGTGTTCACGCCGCGTCTGTGTCTGTGTGCGTCTGTGTGGTGGTGCTGGCCACCCACCCCCTCGTGTTCCGTAACACCCTTCATAGGTGCTCGCTATTAGCACTTGCTCCAACAGTCTGTTAAGGCTATACGGGGGGTATTTGTCTTTGTCAGTCCACATATAGGTCCGTCTGTCCATCTGTCTATTTCTCCATCTATCTACACACCCACACGGTTTACTCCTTATTCGTGTAGAGGGAAATTGAGTTTTCAGGTCCATACGGCGCACAGCCGTTTCAATACGGGCAAAAAGAATATCGTCTCTTTGTTTGTGTTTCTCCCTTGTGATGGGACTTTGAAGGTTGAACGTTGAGATGTATAAGAGCACGGGTTGACCAACAAGGTCTGAATTGGTCTGTAATAGGGTAGGGGCACTGATAAGGGGTTGACAGGTATGAGTTTGCTGGGTTCGCGAAGCGTAGGATGCAGGGAATTTCAAGGAGCGTGAGCCGTCACGTGAACCCGGGTCACCGTCACCACAGCAGCAACGGCTTCTGGGCTAGCCATCGAACAAAGTCGGTCACCGCATCGCGCACTTTCAGATGCGCTTCTGCGGCCGTCTGGAACGCTCTCTTCCTTCCGATATTAGGAAGCTATGCACTGTTAAATTTAGATCGAAAACTCATTTTGTTAGAACTGTTTTTTTGTGTTTAGTTTGTTGTTCTTCCCCCGCACCTCCGATTACCACGCTTGGCTACTTACGGTGCGAAAGGAGTTCAACATACATACATACACACGTGTTCAACATACAATACACGCATTGAGGGGCGACGTGGAGCTCAGCGTGACGGTAAGCGTGGCACCACGGTGAGGGTCTGGACACCCCTCCCTCACAGTTTTGTAGACTTGGCTGAGTGACCCCGACATCAAATTTAAACAATAATTCAGGTGTCTGTCTCGAGTCCGGCAATTCTCCGTGCGGTGTCCGAAATGTTATGGTTTCCTTTGCCTGGCCCGTTGTCCTTTTGTTTTGCTACGATGGGGTTTTCTCGTCACATAGAGACACGGTTGATGGAACGGCTGTGTAAGAGAGGCATTTGAAGCACCACTCATGTTGTTGATAACGCGTAATGTATGACACTCGTTCACCCAGGAATGCCTCGCTGAGTCTCATCACTTGTTTGCAGGAGGGCCCTAAAAAGTGTATGCGGTAGGGTGGCGATGTTGCCGCTGTGCGTGATCCCAATTGAGTACTGTGCAGGTCATTCTTCAGCGTTGGGATGTTTGGCTACGACCGGTTACATTGTGTGCATTTATCTATTTGATTGTGTTTTCTATGTATGTTTATCTTCGGGAGGAAACTGCAAATCTCGGAGGAAACTCGTGCAGGACAAAGAGAGAATGGGGCCCGAGATGGGAATCAAACCCAAACCCTTCCTTCTGTGAGGCACAAGCGTTACCATTGTGTCACTGTGTCACCCTGCCACCCGGAGGGTTTAGACCAGTGTGGTGAATATACTTCAGTGTGGTGAACATACACACTGGTCAAAACAGATGTTGTGAAGGGGCGGCCTGCACGTATGTATCTATCTTTCATCTACAGTTGTATCCAAGGGACGGGCTCACTCTCGCAAGCAGACAATGGATGTACCGTATGTGTGTTGAACTTCTTTCGCACCGTACGTAGCCAACCGCGCTCATCGGATATGCCGGGGGAAGGGCAACAGACTAAATACAAAGAGCAGTTCTAAAGAGATGAGCGTTCAATCTAGATTGAAAAGTTTTATAGCTCCCAGTGGCTTTGTAATATCCGGAGACCATGTATCACTCCGCTACTGATATTAACTACGGCTGGCAATCGAATACAGGACAAGCAGAACGGGCGTGTAGTGGTAGCTCGTATTGGTTGAAGTGCCCTTGTACCCAATACATTGATAGTACGCAAACTACTAAGATCTTCGTAGACATTTGTAGCAAATTCGACTCAAAGGAATTACGTTTGGCATAAATAATTGTAAACGTGACTGAGCGACTTACAAATATTAGTTGTGAACTCCGGCTCAGTTGAGCATCGAGGCAGTGCTCCTCTCGCGTTCACAGTCCTGGGCCAGTCGTGGGAACTCCACATTCCTATGACGGGAGTGCGTGACGAGTCTCTCCAAAAAGAACAACCGCCGTTGACTTCCCCACAAAGTAGTGCCGATTTTATCGACCCCTGCAGTCAGCCTGACAGCGAGGCCACAATTAAAGTCAATGTCATTCGCTGTGGTGGCCTTGGCTGTCGGGGTCCCCGGCTTCTCCCGACGGTCTTAACGCCCGTTGCCCTCGCAGGCCCTCGCGACCTCAGAGCTGAATTCGTTTTCAAACGAGACAAGCGCTCCTCCTGTGAACGCGCCGGTGGCTAATTGACGGCGCTCGCGGTTTGGGATTGGTGGGTGCGGGGGAGGTTGGTGGGCGGTTGGTGGGGGGGTTGGTGGGCGGTTGGTGGGGGGAGGGGGTTGGTGGTGGGGGGGTTGCTTCGTGGTGGTGGGGGGTGGGGGCAGTATTGGGTGACGCAAACGTTGGGCCCGCTCCGGCTCACCAACGCACGGCCCTGTGTTGCCTCGCTTGTTTTCGTTCTTTTCGGTTGGCGTGCCGTTACTTTTTAATTGCCCCTCCCGGTGAGGGATTGACCGATTAACGGCGGCGGAATTAACGGCGGTGGACTTAGCAAGCGGGTTCACCTCGCCCCGAGCAATGCTCGATTTTGGAGCTTTCGTTGGCATTTCTTTTTTTTTATCCGCGCGCACCAATTCAAACCGTACGGCTCGTACGAGCACGGAGTGGCTCATCGCTGTTTGATCGCCCTGAGCCGCCGGTGGGAATTCCGCTTTTACGATGACAAGGTCAAGTTTTTCGACAGGCCCGAGCCACGACTGGCTCCCAACAGAGCGGGTCTCACTCAATTGAACCTGCGTAGGAATCACCGGCGAGCGGTCACGCGGCAAACAGGCAGCACGCCTGCGCCAACAAGCTCTGCAGTTCTCTATATGTCAAGATGTTTTCAGCCAATCGATTCGGGTTCGTACGTTGTGGGAGGCAACTCGGAGCGAACGGGGAAAGCCCACGTGCGTGGGGGCAGCAGTCTACGCCGCGTGGTAAGGGACAAACGATATTCGTCCGCACTTTGCCGTACCATCTTCTCCTGGCAAGCACAGTGTGTACAGGCGCCCCCTTCAACGCCCGACTGGAAGGGAGTTGAGTAACATTCATGTGGTGATCCACCAACCTCTCGCTGCCTCCACGGCGCTGGATGACGGGCCACGTGCGCGTTGACCTCGAACGGAATTTGAACTCGTGACCTTTTCTGGTTGTGATCTGAGCGCTGTGGCTGATTTGTGATTTATTGACGCCGCTCGGGTTTCTGGGTGGATTCACAAATTCGGCAATCGGCCTCCCATCATCTGAGCGCATGGGAAGAGCGCGTTACAGTGCAGATCCTGAATTCTGAATCTTTTTTCATTCATCCTGGAGGAATTCGATGAGTTATGAAGCGCTTATTCACAGATGTCCAGTCGGGATGGGTCAGAAAGTTATAACAACAGATCATGCACAAAAACGCGATAAGAGCACGAAGTATTGACAAGGTTGTCAAATAATTAAAAATAAACTGTTTTTTATTTTACCATGGAAGGCCCACTGAGTTGTATCGTTGTTTTTCATAGGCGAGCTGGCCACAAATGATAGCTCAACGAAGTGGCTTATCACGTGAGAATTTATAGCAATGAACATCACATTTGGGCATTGCCTCGATATGACAGCCACGTAAAAACCCACGCTTTTTAGTCCGGTGCGTTATTTATTATTGAAATGTTATTTGTTTAACATTTTTTATTGTTACGTTTTTCCTTGTTTACCCGGGGAAAGCTTCACCGGGTCTCACGATTCTATCACAGGAAGGTCCCGGCAAGTCTTTCGCAGTCGGAGGGAAGATGTTAAGCTGCTGCTGCCGTTGTGTGTGATCGCAATCGAGTCATTTTTCAGCATTGGGATTGTTTGGTCAATGCCGGGTTACTTTGTGAGGTTTCTATTTATGGGAAGAAACCGGAGAACCCCGGCGAAAACCGACGCAGAACGGGGTGGGGGGAGAGCATACAAACTCCACACAGGGAGAGGCCCGGAGTCGGGATTTCATCCCAGAAACGTCCTATAAAGTGGCACTTACTGCGTCACCCTGCCGCACGTATTTAGTCGTTTGTGTGTATGTAAGTCGAACTTCTCCCGCACCGTACGTAGCCAACCCGTGGCTAATCGGAGGTGCGGGGGAAGGACAAAAAACTAAACACCAAAAGCAGTTCTGAAGAAATTAGTTTAAAAGTGCATAGGTCCCGGTGGAGCAAGATAGATAAATAAGAAGTGCTCGCTATCGCATGAAAGTGCAAATGGCACGAGTAAATACGTTTTTGTAGATTTATCAGGATCAGCGTAAACTTGGGCAACGCAGAAGAACGCAACAAGTTAATGCAATGCGCTATTTTTGTTTTAGTTGATTCATTGAAACGGTCGTGCATTGCCAGCGTCGATGGTTTCTCATCCAAACGTGAGTGCCCAGCTGCGCCATGAGCTGCTCGGAGCAGTGCCTCTGTGAGTGCTCGGCCCTGTGAGTGCTCGGCTCTGTGATTGCTCGACAATGTTGTGGGCTGCACGGAGCGGTGTCTCTGTGAGTGAGAGAAGCCGCCGCCCCACACGGCAGCGGCGCTGGGGAGTGGCGTGCGGAGGAAGCGCACACCTGCCCACATTTGGCGATTTTATTCTTGATTTTATTTCTCCTTTTCCAAACGTCCTCAGTCGCTTAATTGCCCTTGACATTTGCCCAGCCTATAAACACAATTTGTATCTCGGGTGCCGGTCGTCTTGAGGCAGTGAGTTTCCGTTTGTCGCTCGCGGTCTCACCTTTCGGCAGGGGTAGCGGCGGGGTTTGACTGCCCGAACGTGCCACGTGTTTTTGAAGTCG